TCAAATGACAGTGACTTGTAAGAAGGCCTGTTATACATCGTAGTTCATCCCTACCTTAGTCCAACAACTGTTTAGTACCAAGCTTCGAAGGGTGAATAAACGCCTTGGAGTAAGCCAATCCTGGAAGTCCATAAATCTTCTTGCCATGTGTTCAATCTTTCTTTGGCAAAGCCTAAAGCGATGCTAATGAGAGGTTCTGGTCCGATGAAGATGCTTGCAGCTTTTTTGCAAGAGAGTCAGCAGCCTCATTGCCTTCCAAGCCTGGATGGCCAGGAATCCAGACCAGAGAAAATCTGTTAAGTCTCCCTATCGAGGAGAGTCGTTTTTGGCAATTTGCTACCAATTTAGACGTAGCTCAGTATACGAGCCAAGAGCTTCCAACGCCGCATGACTGTCCGAGAATATTTTTATTGACTTGTGTATGAGGTTGGATTCTTCCAATCACACAATTCAATAGCATGAATTTCCGCTTGAAGTATAGTCGCATATGCTACTAGGCAAGTAGATATCTCTGTCCTGGATCTGCGACTAAAAACACCTGCCAATAACCGGAAGGTGTTTTTGAATAATCTGTGAACCAACAACTATGTGTTCTTAATATTTCCTTCTCCCGGAGGATCCAAACAAAAATACGCATAATGAAAAAAAAAGTGGATTCTAGTGCAAGATTCTAAGGGTAACATCTACCCCTCCTAGGGCTACAAATATTCCTTAAAAGTGCCCCCTTAACTGAAAAATTGACCTGTTTTTTCGATTCCTCAAATTATTTACTGGAAGGAAGATATAAAGAGTGGGAAGTTTTCAAATTGATACCCTGTATAATGCACTTCCGGAGATTTCAAAATTATAACCAAGGAACAAGTATTCAAACATAAAATGAAATAACATTTTTTTTTAAATTAGCGGCTATACAATCGATGAGTGCTTTTCTTATCTCTATTAGTAAAAAATGTATTGCATTATTTTTCATCTTTGCTGCTTTGTTCACTCACTTGATTGTTTTAATACCTCTTGTTATTTGTGAATGTGTTTGTTATACAGTGCATTTCTTTAATGTCCCCCCTTTTATTTTTTGAACGGGTCAATTGAAAAAATTGAAATTTGGGATGATGAAATTAAAAGGAAAGGGGGGTCTTGCGACAACCATTTTGAAGCTCCTGACGAATACTTCACAACCCTAGAATATAAAGTCAATATCTCACCTACTACAAAATGGCGGAACATTTAATACTTTCCTGAAGACAAACACATTGATATTGATATTTCTAGAAATATTCCTTTTTAACCGCCATATGGCAATTCCAACAACTAAGGTTTGTTAAGATATTTTTTGTTTATAATAACGACAAAAAATGTCAGTCCGACAATGAACATCATTGTTCATTTAGAATATTCTCATTTAGTTTTCGGTTTTACTAGTAGAAAGGTACCACGTCAACAATCTCTAAAATGGTCAATTCTCGTCCATTGGGAAAAAAAATTGAAGCGACTTTTATTTACGATGCGACGCGTATCTTTCTCGAGACCGAAAGGATTTTCAATGAACGTTCTCAGAATCGTCCTAGTTGTAGAAAATATTTAAGGGAACTTGTATCCAAATTCACAACTACCGGTAGTGTACATAACAAAAAGCCCCAAGGTCATCCGTCCATTCCAGAAGAACAGCAAGTGCAAATAATTGGTGAGATGGTAGTAAATCCTGAACAGTCTACTTATTCCGTCGCGAATGTTTGTGAGGTGTCTCCTACTGTGTGGAGACTTTTGAAGAGGAATAGATATCATCCATACAAAATTAAAATGGTTCACCAATTAACTGAAGATGACCCTGATCGAAGAACAGAATTCTACGAAATCATGAGGGAAACCATTGCAAGGCATCCTACCTATCTCCACAATATTTGTTTTAGTGACGAATGTACATTTTTTTAAACGGCAATGTTCACAGACAAAATTGCCGTTATTGGAGTGACACGTTTTCCGGGAAACACATACCCAATATCCAGAAAAAATTAACGTTTGGGCAGGAATATTGAGAAACCATATTGTAGGACCTCTATTTATAATAATAATAATAATATCCTTTATTGCCATATAGATCTACAATGGACAGGGCAAAGTCAATAGGTTTTGTAATAGTAATATCCTTCCTATAAATCTACATTGACGTCAATGGGTTAAGATTTGCAATAGGTGGTATTTATTACAACTACAGTTCCCATATCACAATTTTTATAATTGGTCAACATTACATATTGGATAATAATTTAAGAAGGACTATTAAAAGAATTTTTAAAAGAATTTTGCGCAGTACTCAGTTATGGTGCAATCGCATAGAGACCCATCACCAACTGTCGAAACTATAATAAACTTTGGTTTTTAGATAATCAATGACTGAGAGTCTGAATTTGTTGTGGTTTTCTGTATTTCTAATTTCTCTTGGGAGAGATTGATAAGCTTTTATGGCTTTGTAATGCGGTCATTTTTCAAAAAATGATGAATTATGTCTCGGTATGCTTAGTTCATTCTTGTGTCTGGTATTTATAGTCATTTGGTTTGAGTAAAGATCACAGTTTCTCATGAAGATACTATAATGTTTTTTGACAAACATGACTAATTGCAGAAAATAGATTGAAGGAACTGTTAATATGTCTAGCATCTTGAAGTGTGGTCTACATGTTGATCTATGAGGTAGTTTTAACATACAGCGAATTAACCTTTTTTGAGTTTTGAAGATTTTATATGACTGTGTGGATGATCCCCAGAAAATAATACCGTATTGAATAATAGATTGAATATGCGCATAATAGTATATCTTCAGACTATCTAATGATACTTGATCTCTTAGTGCACGGATTAGACGTACTGTAGTACCCAGTCTAGAGTTAAGTTTGTTTAGATGGATGTCCCATGTAAGATTATTTTCCACTATGACCCCTAAGAATTTAATATCACTTATTTCAGGAATAGATTTGTTAAGCAATTTGGCATATATCGATTCTAGCCTATTTTGGGATTTGCTGAATGTTATAAGCCCTGTTTTTCCTGTATTTAATTTTAGGTCATTTTCCTTGCACCAATCAATCATTTTTTGAGCTGCTTGGGATAATTGTCTGGAGAGGGTAGACGGGGCTTCGGCTGACACTATAACCGATGTATCATCTGCAAACTGGTATACTAGTCCAGGGTCGAGTGAATTTGAGAGATCATTTGCATATACTAGGAAAAGAATTGGGCCCAGGATAGACCCCTGTGGTACTCCTTGTGTAATGGGGTTTTTAGAGGAAAGAGCCGACGAATTATTTTGAGAAACGTCCACTATTTGTGATCTCCCTGATAAGTAAGAGGTGATGAGATCATGTGCTTTGCCTCTAATACCATATCCTTCTAGTTTATTTAGTAGAATCCTGTGATTCACCATATCGAAGGCCTTTGAAAGGTCAAAGTACAAGCCACCAACACATTTATGTAACTCAACATTTTTCATAATTTCTGTTACAATATTATAGATTGCAAGTTCGGTTGACCGTCCTTGTCTGAAACCATACTGTTGTGGAGCAAGTATCTTATTCTGATTTAAAAAAGTAACGAGTCGCTTGTAAATTACTCTTTCAAAAACCTTCGATGGTGATGGTAGTATAGATATGGGTCTATAGTTGTTTAAATCGGTTTTTAGCCTTTTTTTGTGAATGGGTATCACCCGTGCTATTTTCAGTGCATCAGGGAATATGCCAGACACTAAACCATCATTTATATTTATTTTATTTATTTATTGATCAAAATTTAATAGAAGTGTATTTGAATATGCTGAAAACTACTGTCACTGAAATTCTCTGAATTCTCTGAAATTCTCTAATCACTGAAATTCCAACAAGATGGAGCACCACCACATTACTCCAGACAAGTAAGAAACTATTTGGATACTACTTTTCCCTGTCGTTGGATTGGCCGTCGATGTCCTTCTGAATGGCCAGCCCGCTCGCCAGATTTGACACCTTTGGACTGTTTTATGGTTCTATTTGAAGCAAAAGGTGCATGAAACTGAACCTGCTTCAATATTGGATACACGGCAGAGAATAAAAAATATTTGTAGAGATATTGACGTTACTGTGTTCGAAAATGTTCGGCGTGAAATATCGGATAGGCTGTTCATATGTCAAGAAGTTCAAGGCAACCATTTCGAGCATGTTCTGAACTGACCTCAAGCTTATTACCTCATATTATGTAGTCAAATGTCAATGTATTCAGGTAATTATTAAAAGTTCCTCCATTTTGTAGTAGTTGAAGATATTGACATTATATTCTAGGGTTGTGAAGCTTTTGTCACGAGCTTCAAAAATATGTGTCACAAAACCCCCCTTTCCATTTAATTTTTTTCCCAGATGGCGCCCAGTCGCCATCTTGAAAGTTTCATCTGTCAATTTCACTTCAAAATAAAGTATTCATGCCTAAATTCATTATCTCAAATTTCAATTTTTTAAGCTGACCCGTTCAAAAAATAAAAGTTTGAGGACATTAAAGAAAGGCACTGTATACTTGTGTTTGCGTATGATATGTATATGTCCAATTGCTTTTTTAAGCTCATTCATTTTAATGCATCAATAAACATTAAAAAAACTAGGGACTATAGCAAAAGCCCACTTTATTTCTATGAGACTTTCTCCACAGTCTCTTTGGATTGTTTCGCCCTCAAGTGTCTACATCTTTGATACTATTTCGCTCTTCTAATGAAGCATTGTCAAAAATTTGAAATTTACTTCAAGCAAAAATTAAATGCAGTTAATGGATAACCACTCTGTTCCATTTTCGTTCGGCAACTCCAATATCCAATAGACTTCCTTTCTCATTCTAAATGGAAAAAATTGTGTGTTACTTCCTGATGAACAGACAGTTTTCTTATAGAACTGACGAATGATATTGATTTTATCATTTTTTCGGAAAATATGAAGTTCTAATTGTTAAGCATAGAATATTCATATTCTAAACACAAGTTTTCTTTACAGCGAAAAGAGATCCGCGGGTACCAATCAAGACATACAAGTGGGAGGACGTCAAGAGATCTCGCTCAAAAGGTGGGTACCCGTGGACGTACCTCTACAAGGAACCATTTGACGAAGAACTAGACCCAGAACCGTACACGATGGAAGGCATGCGAAAAAGTAAAAGCTCTTCGACGATGGGCAAATCTGACGTCGAAATATCTGAGGTGATGGACACCGATACAAATCCACATGCCGAAGAACCTCACGAAAAATCCGACGAATTGCAAATTATCACCGAACCTGATGAGCATTCCATTAAACGTAGCAATAGTTCTTTAGTCATAGAAGAATGTGATGGTAACGATAAGGATAAACAAAGTCCTGGAATATTCTTCCTCGAATCTGCCGAAAGCTCGGACGATATAAGCCAATATCTCGATAAAGAGGATCGTAGTCCAACGGGAAAACGAAAAAACCAAGAAACTCCTATGGAGGTAACTATGGCGGAAGAAAAAGAAGAGGAGCCTCAAACAAGAAAAAGAAAACTATCAGCAGAAAGCAGTTACAGCAGAATCAGTCAGACTAAATCGGCCATCTTGAAAAAGATCAAGGACACCAAAGCCAAAATAAAAGTTCCCAAGATATCTTTCCCGACGTCAAAACTTAAGAAGTCTCCTCCGAAGAAAAAAACTAACACGCCTCCCGAAACAAAAAAAGAAATCAAGAAAAATAACACCCCTCAAAATACGAAGCCCTTATATATTCACATACCACTGAAACCTCTCCCAGGTGAGGAAGATGAGTTCTCACATCTCGAGTTGGGATCAGACCAAACGAAGAAACATCAACCTAAGAAACCAGGAAGCTTCAAGGATCTTGTGAAGAACCTGAAGCAACTGAAAGATGTCAAAAACGATTCGATTAAAGAGGAAATGGAAACAGAAGGGGCCACTCAAACAGACATTAGTACAGAAAGAACCAGCAAAGGAGAAGAGGCCAACGAAGATGAAGACACCGAAACTGTAGAAGACACCAATGTAGGAGAAACGAAAACAGAAAACAAGAAAGATGCAAAAGTGAAAAAAGAGTCCAAGTTAGATAAAAATATCAAAGCACAAACGATTACCAAGAAAGAAATAGTCGTTGATGAAGAAAAAGGAAAGAAAACTGAAGAAGACACGAAGGTGCATGTAGACTCGAAGCAAACGGATTTCAAAATGAAAACAGATCCTGTAGGAAAAGAAGAATCTGTGGTAGACATCAAAGTAGAAACAAACATTATCGAAAACAAGCGTAGGGTACAAGCTGATGGAGATTCTGATACTAAAATTTTAGTGAAAAATGAAGAGGTCAACTTCGAAATGAAGGATGAAGCTCGTTTCTACAGCCCTGAACATCAAAGTCATCAACAACAAGGTTTATCATCTTTCGGAGAAGTCGATCCTATAAATTTTAAAAGACGTAAATCTCCTGAAGACCCTCCAAATATGGAAGTCATGGAACCTGAGGAAGAAAATGATAATGTTGCACAAGTCGAAGAAGCAAAATACAATGACATGTTCGACAAGCTTTTTGCAGCCACCACGTCCAAATCTGACGCAGAGACACAAAGCGAAAGGAAGGGACGGTCCAAATCGGCAGAACCCGAAAGAAAGAGGAAAGTTTCTCTCGAAAGCAGTTATAGCAGAAAAAGTCTCTCAAGGTTGGGTGTGATGAAAAAGCTGAAAGATGCTTCTGATAAAATAAAGAATGCACTGACGCGGTCCAGTTCTAAGAAAGAGGTCAAACCGAAAGAAGAGAAAATAGTTAAAAAATCTAAACAGCTAAAACCTCTGACACCTGTTGAGCCAGTCTACATTCATATCCCCCTGAAGCCGCCCGAAGGGGAAAAAGACGAGTTCTCACACGTCCAAGCCGAAGAAGGTTTGAAAACTCCCGATACGGACTCAACTACTACCGACAGCCCCGTACAAAGTGGAGTGCAATTCATATTCTTGACTGCACCATCCGACGAAGAAGTGCTAGACTACAACAGTTCTGATGTACCTGAAACGCCTTCATCAGAAAACAAACGCTTTTTCGGGAGCAGAATAAGTGAACTCAGGGAACTTGCTAAAGGAGCAGTTGATGAGATCGCATGTCCTAAACATAAATTGGAATCGGTCAGCGAAGAAGGCAGTGACAAGTTTTCTGTTGAAGAAGGGAACAATCGACAAGAAAGTGAGGTTGTTACTCTGCCTGAGGATGAAAATGCTAGAAAGGAAGTGAAAGATAGTGCTAGAAATGTTGAAATAGAAAGTAACTCAGATCCCATTGGCATTATACTCAAAGAAAAGGCTACTAGCAAAGATTCAGAGAAAGAGGCTATTCAAGTTGATGAGGAAGACGGTTTGAGTGAACCTAAAACAATGAAGAAGGACAATTTCTCAGAAGAAAAGTTGGAAGATGACAAGAAACCGTTACAAGTACAAAATGAAGCCAACCTTCCAGAAACCACAGCTTCGACAGAAAAGGAGGAAACCACCGGAGCTCAATCTCTCGAACTTAGGTCAAGCTTGAAAGGAGACGGTTCACCGGTCATGAAGAAGAAAGTTTCTTTCAAACGTCGTTCGAAAGTGAGCAAAGAGGGAAGCTATGAGGACATCCAAGTCATCAGCTCCGATGGTGACGAAGGGAAGGAGTTGAAGTTTCCACGAGGTGGTCTGGACAATACTCAGTCGATGTCTGTTGACGAAGAGAAGAGTTATTTGGACGATAAGATCGTCAAGAATTCATCTCTCGAGGAGGACTACAACAAATGGTCTAAAATAAGGTGAGTTTTTATTATAAGACTTATAGAAAAAAAATGCAAATGTATAGGAAGGTCTTTAGCATCTTTTATATCGATGAAAAGAATGACCTAAATATGTTTTGAAATCACAGGGAAATTTATGGAAAAGAAAAATAGATCTCCAAACGATAAAGTGCAGAGATGTATCCGTTCTAGTTCTAGTTCGAAGTAGTGTTGGAGGTTTCTGACGAACTGACCATACTATTATTGTTGTGTATATGTTTAATATATACAAGTCTTGTGCATATTCATTCTATACTCACATTTTACTGTATTTTGTACATTTTATGACATGTATAATTGGTAAATGATATTGTACACCTATATTTTATCTTAACTCACCTTATGACTAATTTACGTTGTAATAGCTTCGTCTCAACGTAGGAGCCGAGAAGCCCAAAAAATGTCACTGTTTTTTTCGATTACCGTGGCATAGTGCATCAGGAGTTCTTGACACATGGTCGTACGGTTAGTAAGGAATATTATCTTGAAGTTATGCGTCGCTTGCGAGAAGAAATACGAAGAAAACATCCGGTATGGTGGAAAAACAAAAACAAGACTTTTGCATCACGATAATGCACCTGCTTGTACGTCATTTTTTGTCCCAAAACAACACCGTAGTCATGCTTCATCCACCGTATTCCCAGATTTGCCCCCTTGCGACTTTTGTCTGTTCCCAAGATTGATGAAACAGTAGGGGTGGCGGCTCAATAGACACCCTTCACTCCTCGACTTATGTCGTCATACAGTTGACCAATTAGAAGCTATCGCGGGTACAGCGGAAAATTCAAATCAGTAGATGAACAAGCTTGTTCCTGGGCCATTTCAAGGCCACGCATTTGGTTCCCATGGAGTTGGTGTTTCAGAGAGTGACTTTAGTGAGTGGGAGAGAAATGTGTGACGTAATCGATGCAGAGAAGGATGAAATGAATATCGGAGACATATCAGAACTGCTTTGAAGATTGAAACAACGCTGGCATAGGTGTATTATTTCATAGGGGAAATATTTCAAAGGGGACAAAATGGAAATTGATGAATAAATATATATTAAAAAAAAAATTCTGCTGATTCTGTGATTTATTGAATGATATTTCAGAAATGGGTTTATGCTAAGATGTATTCTCAATCGATGAATTCTTCCCAAATATTTATATGTTTTGTCACTTTCTCTCTTAGTCCAATCTATTCTAATTGAAAGAATTTTTAGTTTAAAAAGCTACACCCTGATATTCATATACCTTCACTTCCTTTAGGAAGTGTCTAGCAAGGCTAGAGAATTGTGAAAGCAAAAAACTTATTCGACGCCTTCTGTATCTGTATCTGTAGAGTAGGGAGGGTGAGTGTAAGCCCACGCACTTAGGCCACATGTGACCCATTGTACATCCTCCCGAGGAGTTGTCCTCCTAGGTCGTCGTCCATCCTGTCCTTTCCAGGAAGGTGGACAGGTCGCTGGGAGACATCTCCTTTATATCGGCAGGTGTAGGCCAAGACTCGCCGAACACACACTCTCTTATTGACGATAACTCCGGGCACTCGCACAGGACATGCCTGACAGTCTCATCTTCCTGTTCACACNTTAATACTTATTGCTCTGCTAGAGAGCATCTGGAGTATCCATTCTCCTACTACCAGGGGTACATTCCTGGAGTGTAGTTGCTGGGTAATTGTTGGAAAGGTTGTTTTATCAAACGCTCCCTCAATATCTATGAATATACCTAGGGTATATTCATAGATATATACCTGGGTATACCTTTATATGAACGAGGCCGTTATCTCATGATAATACCGACTTGGTTGGTGAAACGCGCGTTGAAAAAAGTGCCGCAGTTCTGGTGTGTGGAAACAGTATTTGCATTGGATATAACCAGGATTCAGAAAGTTACGGCATTGACTTAAAACAACTGGTTTGTCTGAATGCTAATAAAAGATGAATTTGATTTTGTCAATTTCACACTGATGTGAACAAATTCGAGTTATCTGTGGGATGATTTCAAAGATAAGTTTTCAACTGAGGGTTGTTGCATGTAGGATCACTTTTAGGAGAGTTTTGAATGAAACGACGACTCCTAGATATCTCTGATCGAACACATTTGCGAATTTTGACCACAAACACAAATTTTCCCTCCCAGTAACGTGGGACATCTTCATTTATTTTTATCTCCAGTGATTCAGCACCTGTATTTCATTTTGATTATGATCCAAATTACACGAAATAGGTTTTTCTTGCATTTTATTTCGGTTCATGAAAACCTAGTTGAATTATAACAATGAATTGCTGAAAGAATCTGGTTTATAAAGACAGAAAAAATCCTATAATAAAGGTGGGATGGTTGAGTATGTTTAAGGTTGTTTGAAAAGTTTTGTCTATATCTCCATATCCTCATGAATATTTTTTCTTCTGTCGTGGTGTATACTGGTCGATAGAGAATTTTATACTCTATGCATTGGATGCTGTTAATTTTTTTTTTTGCAAATTTCAATTTTTTGCCTCTTTTCAGCTTATGTCGTTAGGAGATTTTTGTCCAATTTTTCTCTACGAAATTAAATTGAACTGAAGCGCTGCCGAAAGAGCCCGAAAAATCAGGCATCTGGCAATGATAGTGTTAACGAACGCACTTTTCGACGTTGGATTGCCAAGTGGTCGACCAACAGTAATCCAGGACGAAGATTTGAGAACCCTGTTGGAGACTGACCCATCACAAACGGTGTATGGGGTGGCTCGAAAACTGGGTGCCCCACGATCCAAAGAAATTGTCACGTTTCAAGGTCGATTCATGTTTGCTTTTGCGCAACCAAAACGATCCTTTGGTGATCAGCGGCTGATGTGATTCACTTCAACTTTCTGCAACCGGGCCAAACCATCACAGCAGCACAAAATTTTGTTCTGGTGTCAGGGGAATGTTTTTTTCAAGTCAACCTTAAATAACTACCTAACTTAGAAATTGCAAATATCAACAGAAATAAACAATGAATACAAATATGAATAGCGTCTTCATCTAAACATATGACCCTGCAAGATTTGATACCCTTAAATAACACTTTATTTTCCGGATTGAAGAAGACCTGATTAAGCTTGAAAGAGTGTAAAAGAGAAGAAGTCTCTCAGGAATCCAGATCAGAGACAATCTGTTAAGTCTTCCTATCCAGGAGAGTCGTTGTTGGCAATTTGCTACCAATTTTCCAACGCTGCTTGACTGCTCGAGAATCTTTTTATTGACTTGTGTATAAGGTTGGATTCTTCCAATCTCTCGCACAATTCAATAGCGTAAATTTCCGCTTGGAATACAGTCGCAGAGGTTCCTAAGCAGGTTGATATCTCTGTCCTGGGTCTGCGACTGAAAACACCTGCACCAGAATCGGAAGGTGTTTTTGATCCATCTGTGAACCAATATTTCTTATCTCTTAATATTTCCTTGTCCCGGAGGATCCAGTTCTCTATAGTCGGAAACATTACTTTATAAGGCAGTTCTTAGTTGACAGTTGGAGACATAAAGTCAGAGATCATTTCCAGATTACTGTGACTTCCAGTGTCAACCAACAGTCTGTTGCACTCTGCATTGAATTTGTGCAATTGACAATGTGCACAAGTCTATATGCAGTCCATCTAGCCCCTCTCTCCAGAAAAATGTGGGGAGGGGGTAGATCTAGAAGGATCTAGATCTAGATGGCACCACAGATGGCCAAAAAAGCCTGTCTCTGTAAGCCAGAGAGCTTCGCCTGGGCCATTTTCTGTAAAGCATTCGGCCACAGAAGTAAGTCTTGTAGATGTTTTTCGTTCATCCAACAGCAAGACCACACTGAAATCAGTCAGACCTACAGAATCCAATATATTGCTTTGCTGACGAGAGCACACTTGTCTCGCCATTCCATTTGGATTCCAGAACATCGGCTGCGGATGCACCTTTTCACCGGTAGCAGGAGGTTGCATATCTTAATAAGGACCTAGAGGTGATTTCGACATGGGGAGAAAGTAACCAGGTTCAATTCAATGCCACAAAAACCCAGGCTTCGGTTTTCTCCAAGAAGATACATGTTTCAGAAACGGATATAATAATGCCGAACAGACGATTCCGCTTTCTGCTTCGAAAAGTTTGTTGGTGGTCAAAATGGACACCAACTTCTGCTTCCCAAAAGCTTGGAACACTGTTCTAAACCAGAAAACTGTACATACCTCACCCACTTTTGATGCTTTATAAAGCTCAGATCAGACTTTCTTTGGAGTAATCTTCCCATGTATGGAGTTTCGCCCCTAAGCATACCCTGCAGCTACTGGATTCCATCCAGAAAAGAGCCATTCGACTGGAGTCACGAACTTCACTTGCAATCTTGATAGTCTGGAACCCTTGAGGATTTTTCTATAGTGCTTGTATTTTGTCCTTCAAAAATGAAGAAAGTTCCGAACCCGAGACAACACTAACACAAAACGACATGAAACAAACGAATGGCTTATCTATGATTCTGATAATATGTCTGTTTTTTAATTAATGGCAGAAAGAAAAATAATGAAAAAAGGGCAAATTATCAAGGTATTTTACTTATCAAATTGAAAAATGCAGGATTAAGGCCATCGACTATCGCATTTGAGGATTAAAAACAAATTTTAGGGTTCGAAATGGGTAATTGTATGTCACCCATTTGTGCAGACTTGGTCATGGCGGAACTATAAAATATATGCATAAAAAAGTTGTCATTTTCATTCCCTTTTTTCAAAAGATATGTTGACGATATTGTTCCTTCCATTCCAAAAAATAAACAAACTGAAATATTAGAGACTTTTCATTCGTTCGCATTTTTAGATACTAAAATAATCAAAGATGCGAATCGAATTTTAAAGGTAGACTGGTATCATAAACCAACTTTTTTTGCGAGATTTTTAAATTATTTTTCAAAACATAATTTTCAGAGTAAAATCAACATTATAAGGAATTTGAAATCAAGAGCAACTGCCATTTCCAATTCTGAATTCCATAACAAAAATCTCC